GTTCAACATAACATTAACTACGGTTGAGACAAGTAATATAAGCCAGGTTAATTTTATATTTTTATCTAATCCCTGATATTTTAGAAGCATCTTTTATTTAAGTAAATCTCCACAAGTCCAACCAAGATAATTTAAATAAATAATTAACTTTAGTAACTAATATTGGGTAAATCCCACTTGAAGGGCAGCATATCAGTTACAACTACTCTAACCGAAAACACTCACTTGAAAAGAACATCAATCTAATACAAGGAAAATTAGAATCATATTCATTTCTCTCCTGTTCTCTCTAGTCATCTTCGTATTATAATCTCACATTGTATTGTTGGCTTTACTTAATGTCTTAATCCAGGAAGTGTGACTTAAATAAGAGTGACATGGAAAGATATATGCCTTTCTTCCTGTAATCAAAGATTAGTTGTGAATTTGCTACTTTTATCACCAACTTATATTAAATTATTAATTGGTAACGCAAAGTGGGTAGACCCCCGCTTTACAAGAGCTCTAATGACCCTAATTACGCTAATCCATTCATGGCATTTTCCTGCTATAATTCATAGAACCATATTTTATATCAAAACTTAATCTATATTTCATACCAAGTTTAAAAACAGTATACACTCTTTAATTAAGTTTTGTCGCTGTACATCATCGTACTTTTTTTCACAGATATGGATTATTTTCAGTTGATTTGTACAGCAAATATCAAGTTAATTTATACTTGATAATTAGTTAAATAAATAATAGTTCATAATATAATATGGTAATGATTCGTATTGTAATATCTTTTAAGTTGAGGATAGAAATTTATCTACTTGTATGATTATGAGATTATCAAAATGTTATGGAGCTTAATTAAACTAACCAGACAGTAACCATGCCTGAAAGTATGTACATACTGTTTATTATCCAGCACAAATACTTTAAGCAAATCATATACTAAATTTATCAACTTATAATATATAGATTGATCACGTGATATTCCTGCAATTTCATTGACTCTCTTCTCTAACCCACAGGACTTGTGTCTATAAAAGCAACTTATGGCTCCCTCAAGCGTGCACTTATAAATCTGAATCAGTAGCTGATCGTTTGGTTAGATATGAATTTAAAGGAAATAATGGCTACTTCATATTTTCTGTCTGCGTTACTTCTGAGTATGAATATGGGTATGGTCATGGTCAGTGGTGATCCTTATTGTGGTCCAATTGAAGCTGATGATAAGGATCTTGTTCATGTGGCTCTCAACTTGGAATTCTTAGAAGCTGAATTTTTCCTGATTGCTGCACTTGGCAATGGTCTTGACTCTATAGCTCCAGAGCTGGCAGAGGGCGGTCCTCCTCCTATTGGCGCCAGAAAGGCCGACCTTGACGACCTTACCAATCGAATCATAGAGGAATTCGGTTACCAGGAAGTTGGTCATCTCAGGTCGTGTTTTCACTTTCCTCCTTTTCAAACAGTTTTTTGTCATGAATAATATAGGATATTGGGTAATCATTTATAATAATTAATTAATTTAGCAACAAACAAATGCTATTGCAATATTAATTTTAATTAATTTTGAACTAGCTTCTTGTTAATAACTGATGTCAGGGGCATTTCAGATCAATTATAACAACCATTGGTGGATTCCCAAGGCCTCTGTTGGATCTCAGCCCTCAAAATTTTGCCAACCTATTTGACCAAGCAGTTGGTTTCAAATTGGATCCTCCATTCAATCCATATGTGAATACAATCAACTATCTCTTAGCATCCTACGCTATTCCTTATGTAGGACTTGTAGGTTATGTTGGCGCTATACCGCAACTTCTCAACTACACTTCTCGAAGAGTAAGAAGTAGAAACCTCTATCTCTGTGTTACTTCTGAATATTTTGATTATTTCATTCAAGAACCTCGTATATAACATACATTTTCACCTTTTACACATTTATATAGTTAGTTGCGGGGCTTTTGGGAGTGGAATCTGGACAAGATGCAATATTGCGAGCGTTACTATACAAGAAAGCTGATGAAAGGGTGTTACCTTACGACATCACAGTGGCTGAGTTCACTAACTATATCTCCGACCTTAGGAATCGGCTGGCCATGTGTGGTATCAAAGATGAAGGACTAATAGTGCCACTAAAACTTGGTGCTGAGAACAAGACAGAAAGTAACATCTTATCGGCAGATGTTTATTCTCTATCGTATGCGCGAAATCCGCAAGAGATTTTAAGGATAGTATATGGAAGTGGCAGTGAATACAAAGCGGGTGGATTTTTCCCCGATGGTGGCAATGGGAGGATTGCAAAAGAGTTTCTTGCCAAAGCTTAATTATGATGAGCTTTTACATGGCAACGCTTCTGGGCTGTGATTCGGAAGCTTACAATAAAATTGAAGCTGATGCCTATCAGCGTGTGACCAGTTCTCGGCTATGAGTGAGGACTGAGAAGCCAGCTAAATATAAGTCGAATAATTAAGCTTATAGTACTTGCCAACACTTGTTTATCAATTATGACTATAACTTGAATCATTAATTATTAGCATCTCGCATTGATCTTAGTAAAACTATATACTATCAATTCACAATATTAAATCGTATTTTACTATCTCATCTCACAATAATGACATTTTAAATTCTAAAGTAGAATTCAGTCTAGTCATTAGTTGGTAATTGGTTATTTGTTAGGAGATCACCCAGCGAAAAACATACATTCGAGATGAATAACATAATAATATAATCACACTACACAAAGAGACACGATATTTACGTGATTTGACATAATCCGCTTATATCCACGGATGAGAGAAATCCACTATAGTTTCATGAACACGAAATACAAGAGTACATAACACCCTAAACCTGGTATATAAAACAGAGCAGAAACAAACCTAGTTTCTAACCACGCTTAATCCAGTACCTAGAGTGGAAATGATTTTAGTTCCTAAGACACTCTTCCCATGGTGTTTAATAACCCTTACATCAAATACTCTATGTTCTCACATTCCCTTATTCTGTCATAACTTTGAATTGGTCTCACCCTTATATTTATAGGTAGTATATGGGATATTCTATTTCTAATAGGATTTATATTTCAATTCTTAATTGGACTCTCATAATTCTATTCATATTTAGAATTATATTCTTTACTAAAGAGTTTTTCTAGAGATATACAATTTTACATGGGAACAAATAGGAAAATGAGCCACAATATCTGATGTAAACCCTCTAGGTGAATTACCCTAGTAACCCACGAACTCAATAGAATAGGAACAAGTTGGTTTGCTAGGAACGTGTTGAGGATGATCGAATTAGAACCCTAAGGAAACTAAGTCCTTAAAACCCTAATCTTGAGACGCCACAAAGGTTGATCACTCCCTTTGATAAGTCGAGATTCAAACATTCAATCAAGAGCACAAGAAGGCAAGCAAATAGCTTTCTGAAATAAACTTCAATTGATAATAATATGTCTCCCTCCCAAAAAATAACATGGCTGCCCCTTTTTATAAAGAGCAAACTCTAAAAGAAAACCCTAGCTAATTGAAAAATGGGTTGGGCCTAAGTACAAGTGAATTGGGCCTAAATAAATCTTAAATAAATAAAAGACTAAAGAAATCTAATGCTAATTAAAACCTCAACAAAAAAAAAAAAAAAAAAAAAAAAGCACAAGATTAAATAAACAAAAATTAATTCCTAAATTAATCCTTAAATCCAACTTGATCTTCCAAATCTACCCCTTGCATAAAAAGATAATAGACCATCCTTGGTGAAGTTTTGAAATCTTCGAATTTAGTCTTAGAGTCTTCTAATACAGTCTCTTTATATTGCACTTCCATAATCAAGCCTTGCAAAGCCTCTTTCATCCTCTTTGTCTTTGCCCTAGTCATTGGACTGTCAATTCCTTGCAAAAGATCTTGAGAATATTTGGAAACATCAACTTCGTGAACACCTCAATCTCCATTAATATCCTAACATTATTCTCCTAGTAAAAAATCTAAAATAGCAGGTCACTCATATCTTAAGTCAATGAATTCTCTCATAATAATATTAAATTAAAAAAAAAATTATCCAGAGGATGAGCATTAGCAAGATTATAATTTATAAATGTCAAAAATTTTCTTTTCAACCACTTTTGAAGTAAAAAACGCTACAAAAGTCAAATTTTTTTGCCTTCTACGCTTCCTTTAATTTGAGTAATAATGTTGTGTAATTGTGTTAGTCTCTTCATATTTATATTATATTGAAGTTAATTAGGTTATGGTAGCTGAATATATATGACTCCCAGTACGTAGGCAGTTGCCCCACACTCACACTCAACAAATTTCTCGCAATCTTTACAGTAGTTAATTATTTGGTCCACTACTTACCTTAAGCTTCCTTCGATCATCGGGTTCTCCAAATTAGGCAACTCCTATTGTCAAAAACCCAATATTGGTAGTCCCATTTTCATACGCAACTGCTACGGCATGCAGTTTGGTTGATTCTCGATTCTGAGCTTTACTTTAAGGCTAGCCAAAGTTACAGTATTTTCATATATGTATATATTTGTAATAGAAATCATTTCAACGTGTTGGGATGGATGCATGTAATGTTCTAACTCAGTTTGCTAGAATCAGGTCTATAAAAATATGTCGTTGTGACGCTCCAAAAGATATTAATCTTAAATTAGTTGCGAGTTTGTTCCATTGGTTAACCATCAAGTAACCTCATCATATGATTAATTAGTAAAAGCTTTTTCAAAGGTTAGCTCTCCTGACTAAATTACGCTAATCTCTCTAGTAAGTAAAAAACTTATATTTATTTGAACAATCCTTTTCATAAAAGTTTGCTTGAATCAGTTGGCAACATTAAGTTTTTGTCCTCTCTCATATATCTTATTTTTAATCTCATCTATCTTTACATTAAATATGATTAATAATTTTTAAATACACTAAATGTTTGACATACATATACTAACTAATAATACCACATTAACAATTATATTTCCCAATAAACAAGCAAGCCAGGAATTCTCTCTCTCGGCTGATTGTTTCTATAAAGCTACTTATTGTCGCACTCTTATGCAAGCTCGAGAAATTAGTCTAGTACTTGATCTCTTTGTTTAGTTATGTATTCAAAAGAAAAAATGGCTACTCCGTATTTGGTTTTTGCCCTATTCACTACAATATTGAATGTCCAGATGGTCATGTGTGCTCCTGCTGCTTCCTGCGGACCAATTATAGCTGATGATCGGGATCGCATTCAAGTAGCTCTCAACTTGGAGTTCTTAGAAGCCGAGTTTTTCTTGAACAGTGCACTCGGTAAGGGGCTTGACAGTATAGCTCCAATGTTGACAGCCGGTGGTCCTCGTCCGGTTGGTGCTAAAAAAGCCAATCTTGACGCTCTTACGAATCGGATCATCGAAGAATTTGGTTATGAGGAAGTTGGTCATCTCCGGTCAGCTCTTTAACTTTCTGATAATGTTTACTAATATAAAAGCGTTATTTAATATCAATAAAGTTTATTTATTCCTTTAATAATAGTTTTTTATTTTCATTATTTAGGGCTATTATAACAAGAATTGGTGGGTTCCCAAGGCCTCTATTGAATCTGAGCACTGAGAATTTTGCTAATATGTTTGACGCAGCAGTTGGTTACAAATTGGATCCTCCATTCGATCCTTACTTGAACACCGTCAACTATCTTTTAGCATGCTACCTTATCCCTTATGTGGGACTTGTCGGTTATGTTGGCACTATTCCAAACCTTGTCACCTACACTTCTCGTGAAGTAATAAATAGAAGCCTCCTCTCTCTTTCAAGAAACTATATTTATTTTTAGTTAATGTATACAATTAACCTAATTTTCAATTTTGTAGTTAGTTGCAGGGCTCTTGGGAGTGGAGTCTGGCCAAGATGCAGTGATAAGAGCATTGTTATACGAGAAAGCAAATGAGATGGTGCTACCATATAACATAACAGTGGCAAAGTTCAGTGGCTATATTTCCCAGCTTTGGAACCGGCTGGCCATGTGTGGCATCAAAGATGAAGGGCTAATAGTGCCACTACAACTTGGAGCCGAGAACAAGACAGAAACTAACGTCTTATCCGCGGATGCAAATTCTCTTTCTTATGCACGAACACCACAGGAGGTTTTAAGGATAGTATATGGAACTTGCAGTGAATACAATCCCGGTGGATTCTTCCCTAATGGTGGCAATGGAAGGATTGCAAAAGGATTTCTTGCCAAAGCTTAATTACGAGCTTTTACATGTTTGATGCTTCTGTGATCCAGAAAATTTAGTATAAATTGAAGCTCAGGCCAATTTGGACTACTTTTAATCACTGTAAACAGCACTCAGCTATATATATATATGACCGAGAGAAGCTATAAATAAATTTATCTTAATAGCTTATATATATAATATACTTGCCAACGTTATTCCCAGCTAAGCCGGGAACTGGAAGCTTTTAATTATTTAAAGATATGAATTTTGGTAACTGCATGCACCTAGCTGCCACATGCTTTGAAGTTTGAATATAAAGTTTTATCATTAGAAACTCAAAAATAAAATTGGTATTGTCAACAAATAATGTGGTAATTGATAATAAGTTTACAGCTGCACTACCATTTTCTTACTGTTTCTGGCAGCATATCGTGGTTTTCCATAAATCTTAACAAACACGTCTATAATTTGGCTTCCTTTTGCATTATCATTTTCAACCTGCAGCAATAATTTCATATTATTTACAGTTGTATCAATTAATTTAAATGGAAATTAAGTCTCAAGCATCCTACCAAGGGGGTGTTTGTCTGAGCTTATTAAAATTAGCTTATAAGCATTTGAAATTTTAAGCAATTCGTGTTTAGTTAAAGTATTTATAAGTGACTGATAAGTAGTTGACGTAGTTGGTAAAATGTGGCTTATAAGTACATTTTATTATAAAATGACTAAAAAAGGTACTACATTAACAAGGGTATACTATAAAATTTTAAAATTAAACAAAGATAATGTGGTAATATACTTGGTCAAACTAACTTATAAGAAAACCTCAACCCCCCCCCCCCCCCCCCCCCCTCCAACTTATTTTTTTTAGCTTATAAACTCAACTTATAAATTTAAAAAAGTTATAAACAAACAGGTCAGCTTAATTTTAAAACTTATAAACTAATTTGATCAGCTTATAAGCTTGGACAAACACCCCCCAAATTCTATCACAATTCAATCATTTAGAGCTCAACAAACCTATATATCCTCGTTGTTGAATCCACAGTCAAACACATGCAATGAAATAAAACAGAAAAGTAAATAAGACATTTAATTTACTCTGGTTCGTTCTGATTAAGGAATTATGTCTAGCATTCAAATAAAGATTTTTGTATTAAGTTTTAGAACTTTGTAGCAATTACATTTTATAGTGACGACAGTTCACTCTCTCTATTTTTTTTTAACCTTGGTTTCTCACTATTACATCATATAATAAAAAACCCTACTCCACTTAGACCTACCCGAATCTAACATTGAGACCCTCGAATATGTCTGCATAGGAGGGCTTTAAGCTTATACAAAGTATGAACCACATCCACCATTCGGGAATTAGACCACTAAGTTTGTTACTTACAAAGCGAAGTTTTATGAGATTGGAAAGATTTGATGGTAATAGTCCTTGGAACAGATTATCTGTGAGATTTAGGCAATGAAGCTTACCTCGATTCGTCACTCAATAAGTTGAGTGGTCAAATACCAAAAAAAAAAAAAAAAAAAGTTCCCGCAGTTTAATACACCGGTGTTGCAACAAAGGCACGGCTGAAAATTTTGACCAGTCAGGGGATTAAGGTGTTGAAACAATGTATGGGAAAAAGGGGAATTAATCAATTATAAAGAAAAAAGAAAAAAAGATATAAACACAATAACACATGTATTACATAATAATTATAAAAAGATAAAATAAGTGGAGATGGATGAAGTTCATATGGGTTTCTGTTCCGATAATAGTTTAGGGTGTTAGGAGATTCAACTCGGCCCATTTTATTCTTTATAGGTTTTATGTTAAGCCCATCCGATAAATGAATATGACAAACATGTTCTGAAATGGATTGACCTACACATCCTTTAATTAATCTGAATTTTCAAAACCTAACTTTCGCTAATTTCAATGGTTGCTAACGGGATCATGCAACTAACGTAACTTTTCAAAGTTTTAGTTAATTTCCATTAGTCAAAAGAATTACAGTAATTGAATTATTACATATTTATATATGCTTGATAATTTTCATTAGGAAGATTACAAATGTCACTTTTTTTGTTTTTTTTTTTTCCAATTACGTAGCATGCTTATTTTGAAATATAAAGCAAGACTGAAAATGTCAAACTTTTACTATCCACGCTGTTGTGCCAAAAAATTCCTGATGTATGGATTCACGCTATATGTCCTTTCCATTATAGATAAACGTGAATGCTATGCTGTCACACAGTTGGCTCCCATAAAAATCAAGCTGTCATCAACAACGGGTCCCTTGGCACAACCCCCAGAAGTCATCCGAATTTGAGGAAGAAACAATTGCTACGCGTTGCAATTTCTTCAAGCCAGCAAGTAGATAATCATTTGATTAACAACAAAGCTACAGACACAGAATATTTTGTACCGAAAATATGTATTGGCCTACGTGTACCCTAACTCATACCAACAGTCCAAACACCTGATTTTTCTATAAATATTTTTCTAGTAAACGGTTGTCCATCAAATAGGGACGGCCGTTCACTCACATGGACTCTCGTCTATATTATATGGATGGGGGTCCATATACCATGGACGGACGTCCCCATTTAAAGGATGTTGTAAATACTCTTAAACAAATCAAGCAAACATCAACCAACAAACACACAATCAACGCAAATCAAACAGATTCAACACATAGTATTTACAGTGGTTCACTTGTTCAATATTGAACAAGCTACGTCCACGTTGAGCTCCAGAATATGGATGCTTGCTGCACTTTCTACTACGATCAAGAACGATTACAACCCTCAACCTCTCTCTCTTACAAGATTTCAACCAGGATTTGGAACAACAACAGTAAACCTACAATCTGAGATAAGAACACTACACCAGGTTCCCACCCCACTAAGAAACACAACTTAATGGATAGATTACCCGCAGATTTACACCCACACTGCAAACCCTAATCTTGAACCCTAATTTGTAACTCAGAGAGATATCAAAACAGAGAGAAAAACGCGTTACTGCAAAACTGAAGAGTCATCAGCTTTTATAAGTTTGACTCAACTTAAGTCTTCAGCCGTCAGATCTGTTCTCAAACCAACGATCAAGATTGAGCGTCGGTTTAAGTCACAACGGTGTTGTTTTGGACTTTCTTGGCTTAAGTTAAACGGTGTCGCTTTAAGGCTTCACATTTAACAATCTCCACCTTGAAGCTTTATTCTTTCCTTTGTCAGTAACCGGCAGGTGCAGCAAGCAGTTCTCATACTCCTTATTTGCTTTGTTGAATTCAGTTGATGTGAAGAATGTTCAAGCAGTGCTTGAACTTTACAGCAGTTACAACTTTGGTTCCCATATCAGATGGATTTTCTTCAGTTGGAATTTTTAGCAGGCTGACAGTTCCCTTTGAAATCTGATCTCGGACAAAATGATATTTTACATCCACATGCTTCGTCCACTCATGGTATATTGGGTTTTTACTTAGATGAATGACACTTTGACTGTCAGAACATACAGTCACAGGGCCATTCATCAAGTTTATCTCTTTCAAAATCCCTTGTAGCCAAATTGCCTCTTTGAAAGCATCAGTTACTGCCACATACTCAGCTTCTGTTGTGGACAGTGCCACTAATGGTTGAAGTTGGGATTTCCAGCTAATGCAGTTTCCACCTAAAGTGAAATAATAAGCTGTGGTGGACTTCCTTGAATCACGATCTCCTGCAAAGTCAGAATCCACATACCCAACAAGATCAAGTGCAGGAGTTCTTTTGCAGTACTCTAATCCAACATGCATTGTAGTGTTAATGTATCTAAGTGTCCATTTTAAGGCAACCCAATACTCTATTCTTGGATTTGACATAAACCTACTTAATAGAGATATTGCAAATGAAAGATCAGACCTAGTGCTTATCATTGAATATATCACTGATCCTTTGGCACTAGAGTAAGGGATGTTTTCCATTTTAATCCTATCTACGTCAATTTGGGGGATTGATCTTTGCTTAAGGTGAAATGACCTGCTAAGGGTACATTTACAGTTTTAGCATCAGTCAAACCAAACCTAGATATTAGTTTCTACAGATATGGGAATTGATGTAGTTTCAATCTATTTTCTTTTCTATTTCTATCAATCATCATCCCTAATATCCTTTTTGCAGATCCTAGATCTGTCATCTCAAATTCAGCATTTAATTTTGTTTTTAATTCATCTATTTGAGGTTTGGACTTACTGATTATTAGTATGTTATTAAAGCAACCATAATACAAACAGTTATCATAAGCACTCCTAATGAACCCAATTCCCACTATAAAGGAGTCAAATCTTTTGTACCACTGCCTAGGGGATTGTTTGAGTCCATACAAGGACTTGTGCAGCAGACAAGCATGTTCAGGCAGGTTTCTATCTCTAAACCCTAATGGTTGACTCATATAAATTTTCTCTTCCAATTCACCATGTAAAAATGCTGTTTTAACATCTAACTATTCCAGTTCTAGATCATATTGAGTTACTGCAGCTAGCATAAGTCTAATTGTTTTAAACTTAACCACAGGAGAGAAAACTTTTGTAAAGTCTATACCTGCCCTTTGTGTGTAGCCCTTTGCCACCAGTCTTGCTTTGTATCTTGGAGGGTCTGATCTTGTTAGACCTTCCTTCAGTTTATAAAGCCATTTGCAGTCAATTAGCTTCTAGTCAGTAGGTTTTGGGACCAGAGTCCAAGTACTGTTCTGTCTTAAGGATTTCATCTCCTCCTTCATTGCTTCCAGCCACTTTTTACTGTCTTTTGAACTCACAGCTTCCTGATATGTCTCTGGTTCAGATCTCAGTGTTTCTATCCCAGCCACAAGGGCTGTGTAGATCAAATCTGCATAGCTGTATCTGTTTGGGGGCCTTATTTCCCTTCTGACCCTGTCTCTAGCCAGTTGGTAATCTGCTAGGTTCTCATCCTGTTCTTCTTCATTGTTCTCAGGCTGCACAGTTTCTTCATATTGGTCCCCACTGTTCTGTAGTGTGGCATTTTCTGGTTCTGTTTGTTCAGGTTGTTCTAAGTGCTCTGGCAGGTTTTGTGGCTCCACCTCAAACTGTGATCTCTCTGTTTGATCAAGCAGTTCAGGCTTTGTCCTTGAGTTTCCAACATTGTCAATAGACACTTTGCATAGGAAGGTTAGCTCATTAAAGACTACATCTCGGCTTATTATGATCCCAACTCCTGGTGCATTTTTCTCCCACAACCTATAACCTTTTGTACCATCCTGGTACCCTAGGAAGACACATTTTAGAGACCTAGGTTCAAGCTTACCCTCTCTAGTATGTACATATGTTGCACACCCAAAAACCCTTAGGTGGTTTAGGTTAGGTTTCCTTCCAGACCATCTCTCTTTAGGGCATTTAAAACCTATTGAGCTTGATAGACTTCCATTGATCAAATAAGCAGCTGTAGTTAGAGCTTCTCCCTAAAAAGTCTTAGGTAGCCCAACAGTGAACAGAAGACACCTGACCCTTTCTAGGAGAGTCCTATTCATTCTCTCTGCAACCCCATTCTGTTAAGGGGTTGCCCTGACAGTTCTATGCCTTTGTAGCCCCTGATTTTGGCAGTAGGTTTCAAACTCTAGGTTACAGAACTCCAGACCATTATCAGTCCTAAGGGTTTTGACCTTTCTATCCAATTGTGTTTCTACAAGGGTTTTCCAACCTTTGAACTTGGTTAGGGCTTCGTCCTTAGTCCTAATGAGGTATACCCATACCTTTCTACTGTAATCATCCACTATGGAGAGGAAGTATATGTTCCCTCCATGTGATTTCACCTTTTCTGGACCCCAAAGGTCAGCATGGACATAGTCTAGACAGTTTGCAGCAAGATGAGTTCCTTTTTGAAAACTCATGCTGTGCTGTTTTCCAAGGATGCAGGTTTCACAAAAATCTAGAGCAGTTACAACATCACTACCAAAATAACCTTGCTGTTTCAATGCATTCATACCATTCTGGCCTATATGGCCTAATCTCAAGTGTCATTTTGCTACAGCAGATATGTTAGTAGACAATAAAACAGAATTAGAAACATCAGGATAGAACTGTCCACACAATATATAAAGCCCATTTTTCTTAACCCCTTTCATTAACACATTTCCATTTTTGTAGACTTCCATACAACCATTTTATGCCTTATAAGAACAACCTGATTCATCTAAGGTTCCCAAGGAAATTAGGTTACGTTTTAATTCAGGTATATACTTGACCCTAGTTAGTAATACTAACTTACCATTATTCAGCTTAATGGTTATATCCCCTACCCCTTGAACCTCACAGGAGTGGTTATTCCCCATAAAGACAGTTTCTTGCTCCCCAATTTTAAGTCTTTGAAACCAGTCTTTATTAGGGCTCATATGGAAGCTACAACCTGAGTCTAGTACCCATTCACTGCCTCTAGATGTATTAGAAATGGTAAGGGCTTCTGATATTTCTAGGTTACTACTAGAGTTGGCTAGGTTTGTCTCTGTACTATTCTGTTTGTTCTTTTTAATCCAATCATAGCAATTTTTCTTTAGGTGTCCTACCTTGTTACAGAAGAAACATTTCCTAGATTCCCCCTTAGTTCTACCATTTCCTTTACTGTTCTTCTTGTTTTTAAAGCCTACATTTCTCTGATGAGTTTTTCCATTATCTTGACTAGATTGCCCAACCTCAACTTTCCCTTTCACAAACAAGTTGCTACCATTACACTTTTGGATCTTTAATTCTAATTCCCTAGTTTTTAGTCCAGAAACTATCAGGTCCACACTAGGTACTGTTCCACTATACTGGAGTGCATTCTTAACCACTAAATATTCTTCAGGTAGGGAATTCAACAGAATCATAGCAAGGCTTGAATCTCCTAGTTCTTGGTCAGTACCTTTTAGGGTTAGGGTCATTTTTAAGAATTCATCAAGATTGTCATCTAGGGATTTAGCTATGTCCATTTTATAAGAAAATAAAGCACCTTTCAAGAAAGCTAAATTAGGGGCAGATTTAAGAGCATACAGAGACTCGAGTTTACCCCAGAATGGAATTGGAGATTCCATACCATCCACCTTTCGCAGCATGGTGTCTGATAGGTTCATAATGATCAAATTGTATGCTTCTTCATCCATTTCTGCCTTTTTCTTTTTCTTTTCTTCTGGCCATTTGGACTTATCCTTTTCAAGTGCGATCCCGACCTTGTTGTGAGATAACAAGGCCTTCATTTTCTTTTTCCATGTATTAAAATCGATCTTCCCATTGTATTGGGAGATCTCCATACGAGTAGTGCTCATTATACTGTAATGACAGGGCAAAAAACAAAAGAAAAAACAATTTAAGAAGTACATGGCGTTGTTATACCAATGGTTGCCAAGTACTGCCAAGCAGTTTTTAAGGCGGTCACTGGTGTTCCAGCCTAATACTCTTAAACAGATGCAGTATGATTTGAAACCCTAATTTGAAAGAAAACCCCCAAATTCTAACGAAACCCTAATTTTGATTTTGCCCAAAATTCGTCAATCCTTTGTGTTTGTGACCTAATCTCAAGAATTAATCCCACGATTCAGCAAGATTTGAAGTCCTAATGATCTAGGAACCTTTAAATCGAAAAACCCCCAAATTCTAACAAACCCTAATTTTCGAATTCGTCAAGATTCCTAAACCTAGATACACCTTAGACCTAATACAAGGCTCTGATACCACTTTTGTAAATACTCTTAAACAAATCAATCAAACATCAACCAACAAACACACAATCAACGTAAATCAAACAGATTCAACACACAGTATTTACCGTGGTTCACTTGTTCAATATTGAACAAGCTACGTCCACGTTGAGCTCCAGAGTATGGATGCTCGCTGCACTTTCTATTTCGATCAAGAACGGTTACAACCCTCAACCTCTCTCTCTTACAAGATTTCAACCAAGATCAACCAAGATTTGGAACAACAACAGTAAACCTACAATCTGAGATAAGAATACTACACCAGGTTCCCACCCCACTAAGAAACACAACTTAATGGATAGATTACCCGTAGATTTACACCCACACTGCAAACCCTAATTTGTAACTCAGAGAGATATCAAAACAAAGAGAAAAACGCGTTACTGCAAAACTGAAGAGTTATCAGCTTTTCTAGGTTTGACTCAACTTAAGTCTTCAGCCGTCAGATCTGTTCTCAAACCAACGATTAAGATTGAGCGTCGGTTTAAGTCACAACGCTGTCGTTTTGGACTTTCTTGGCTTAAGTTAAACGGTGTCGCTTTAAGGCTTCACATTTAACAAAGGACGTAAGTAAAATACAATAAACAAATTTTATAAACATTCGAGACGGCCGTCCATCCATTATGGACGGCGTCCGTCCATGGATGCTTGCAAATAAGAGAGGCTAGTTCTTAACCAAAATATGAAAATAAAAAAAAAAAAAAACTTTGGGGACGGCCGTCCATAAATTTTGGACGGCCGTCCCTTATGTTTGGAGAATGGACGCATATCCATACTTTTAAAAAAAAAAAATTTCTATTCCCCATCTCCTCTCTTTTTCTTCATCTTCATTCCCCATCTCCTCTCTTCTTCTTCGTCTTTGTTATATGAGATAGGCGTGCCAAATCCAAAGGCTCCAAAGCCCAGAAAACTACAGAAGCAAAACTGGAATTTCATTCTCTCTCACTTCATTTTTACTTCAGCAAACTTAACATGGCGTTTTATATTAGGGTCATACTTCTTGATATCAAGTTTCTTCGTGTTCTAAGTATTCTTTTTCTTGGCGTAGAAAAATCCTGTCCCAGCTGATGAAGCAAGCCTGATTACTTTTACATTCTTTTTCTTCCTTGTCTCACCCCAACCTTTCCTTTTCCCAGTCCTTTTCCTCTTCCTCGTCTTTTTCTTCTCCGGATCACCACCCCTTTTTCTGTTCTTCATCTGTGGTGGAAAAAACTCTTGTCAGGTGTATTCAATTAGTTGTAG